ACAGAATTCATCCTGCTATCTATAATAAGAAGCAAAACCCTTAAAGTTAGAAATGTTTTAACTGGACTTAAAACCCAAACAAACAAAAGCCCCCCCAAAAAAACCATCCCTCAAACAACAAAAAAAAAAAACAAAAAAAAAAAAGAAAGAAAGAAAAAGACAAACAAAACCACAAAACCAAACCAAAACTAAAAAAATCAAGCAATCAAACAATTAAAAAAACCCAAACCAACCAACCACCAAAAAAAAAAAAAAAAAAAACAAAAAAAAAAAAAGAAAGAAAGAAAAAGACAAACAAAACCACAAAACCAAACCAAAACTAAAAAAATCAATCAATCAAACAATTAAAAAAACCCAAACCAACCAACCAACCAAAAAAAAAAAAAAAAAAAACCAGAGGGACAAACCTGTATTTGTAACAGAACAAACAGAAAGTTTGTAAACAGAGTTTCTTTCTTTAGGAGTTGAAAAAAAAAAGTTAGTTTTCTGTACCAGTATTACTTCAAGGTAGTTCCTTGGAAAGGCAGGGTGGTCCAGAGGCTCATGTGGTGTATGAGATCAGTGTCTTTAGGACTGTGGGCAAGCACATTTGGCTCTCTAAAGTGTTTTCCTTTATTTCTCTGTACATTTTTACGTTCTTACTCTGGGATTTCACCACTGAGTACAGATTGTAGTTTTTGCAGTGATCTGTCTCTTAGACACCCTATTGGAGATAGGGTATTGTCCCACTGGCAAGTCGTCAAGTAGAATAAGTGTAAAGGAGAAATTAAACTATATCTCGAAGTAAATAGGCAAGTCACAGGTAGCTGCTTGGAAGGAAATTGTGTATAATACAAGATCTGGAGAAAAATATTAATGCTGATTGCATTTTCTGTGCACTACATAAACAAAACATAAAAAACCCTATATATGTGGGTTTTTTTGTTTTTTAAAAAAATTTAATTACTCTTAAAAAAACCAAACAAATGGAAAAATGCCCTAATAGTGTGAGCATAATTTTATTAAAAGGTTCATGCAGCTAAGCAGATTTAGCTCTGCTTTTCTATAAATACAGGGAAATGTTTAACCCCTATTGTATGGCCACAAAGGCTGTGCTGATCACACAGAAGCTTGGGAGGGCCGAGGACAAAGCGACGGGCGGCTGGAAACAGCCCCTCTTGTGCGTGCCCGTGCACACAGAGCAGCAGCAGCAGGGCTTGGCACCAGAGTTTTGTCAAGCTTGCAACATGAAGGGGAGCAAGGTACAAATTCTTACCACTTGCTAAAAGGAAGAAAGGAAAAAGTAACCCGCCAAAAAAGGAAGAGGACCATGACAGCTGGATAGCTACGTGCACAAGGTAATGGCTGAGCTCCCTTCTCTAGCCTGGTACTTCCCACTCACTCAAATAGTTGAGATTTGTGTACCTTAGTGTTAGTTGGTTTGATTTATTGGAATGAAGTATCATGAAAAAAATCAGGTTATAACTTTGAACAGGAGAATAAACCTATGCTATGTAATTTACTGAAACATTTAACTTTGGTTAATAGTCTAGGAATTGACAGAATGAGGTTAGCATTTGTATCCATGAAGGAAGGGCGTGACTTTGCAAAATATTAAATATCCGAAGAAATCTGTATTCTGTTTTGTTTAGTATAATATGAGTAAAATTTGGGCATTGTCCTTATGGATGCTAATATAATCTAGGTTGGACTACCCACTCTAGGAAGTGTCTTCATGAGGGTGTGTGTATCAGAAATGAAAAAATAAGCCTAAAAGCTACTTTTGTTGTATTTCCAGTGTATTTTTTTCCATTATTACTTTGGCAGAATCATCTGGGTTTGGGCACACCCAGAAATAAGATAGATATGACAGCAAGATGGATCACTGCCCCCCTCAACCAACCAGGGTGGTTTCTCCTTTTCTGAGAGCTCCTCATTAATCCTTAGCTCTGAAAGAAGAAATTACACAAGGCTGAACAATGGAGCTCTGCAGTACTGGATTGCAGAAAACTGTGCTTAAATACATTAAATATCACAAAGCAAATATTTTATATTAAAGAACTTTGCACAGTATTGTAAAGTAAACAGAAATTCAATTAAATATATGTGTATATAGATACATTATTTTATGAGAAAGCTGTACATTGTCTCACTATTGCTTTTTAAGGCTGCATTAAAAATATTAAAGTGTCTTGACATTTTAAAGAATATTTTTGAGTACATTTTATGTAAAACCATTTAGCCAATCCGATTATGAAACAAAAAATGGATTTTTTGTATTTTGGATTTTTCACATTTGAATTTTTTGCATAGTTACCTATTGGTATCTGTGTATTATTTCTTTTTCTAATATTAGCTTCCCTGAAGTCTACCAACACTTTTACAAGAAAAGCAACGATACTCTGTAAGTTGTAGTTATTTCATGAATATCTGAACAAATAAGTATGCAGTAATCATAATGTTAGGTCAGAAAATTTAAAAGTGTGCTTTACATTTCCACAATATGCTAGTGACCAAGCAAATTATAAGACCACAAATATATCTTACAAAATTTAAAACATATTTCATCTAATCTATGGACTTGTTTTAGAACCATCATTTTTACACTCCTCCTTGATTTTTATTTCCTACTCATTTTTCCCCTTCTTTTAGTGAATCTTAGAAGTCTTGAAAAGGTTACCCATGATGTCAACAGAGTTGTGGTTTTTTTCTGTATGTGAGGTCTTATACAAGTCATCCCTGGGTTTCAGAACATGCCTAAACAATGCCCTTGAGGCTACACATGTTCTTAAATGGCAAAAACAAGAAGAAGGGGACAAATATCTCTCATCAAGGTGGGCTGATTGGCAAGGGCTGGGCTACATCTGCATTTTAATGCTTTAGTAAATGAGTCTCTTGAAAAAGAAGGCTGGCCATAATCTGAATGTGGTTTAGGCGCTGTGGTGTTCCTGCAGCCTGATAAGTAGCTGGTGTCTTTTTAGTTCAGAGTACCTAGGATAGTGGGAGCTGTGTGCAGCCCACCAAAGTCATGATGGCACAGGCTAATACTGTAAATCCTGGGGTCTGCTCCAGTGGGTCCCATGGAGGCAGGCAGAGGCTGCGAATGAGGATGCAGTGCCTGGCAGGTGAGAACTGCAGGTCTGTCAAGAGTGGAGAATCAAAACTTAAGGCAGTCCATGCTGTTGTTTGGAAGGATTTTCCAGGCTGGAACACTCCCTGGTGTGTTCACTCAGGTTTTGTCTTGGAGACAGCTGGGGAATGGAACCAGCCAGGAAGCAGCATGAGTGGCAGGGTGGATGTATCTGGTACCTCGGAGTAATAGGAACTGTGTGATCACTGTCAGGCTGTGCTGTGGTCAGTTAGGAGCTGCACACAAGTTCCATGCTGGCTTTGGCTCATCCAGGTCCTGCTGGTTTGCAGGCAGCATTTCCAGCTGAGTATAGAGGCAGGGGGTTCAAAGTGGTTTGAGTGTCTGAATAAAGATTAAGGCAATTGAAGTGAATCTCCTAAGAGAATTTCACCCCAGGGAAATAAATTATGTATGTATGCCAAAACTCCTGATGTTGCAAAGATAATGTATTGTTTCCAATGTTTTATTATGTAAGAGCAGCAAGTTGTTTTGGAAGAGCCTGATAAAAAGCAATTTATGAGAAGTGTTGCTTGTTACTGAAAGAAATAGCTACAGAAGAGCTGTAGTCCACAGTTAAGGTTTGGCCAACTTGCAGGCCAATCTAACAATAAAAAGGCTTTAAAAAGTATATGGAAAGAAATGGTATGACTAAATTATCAATTTGATGAGGAATTAAACTGATCTTCCTGTATCAGCACTGTAAGCTGAGATGTTGCAGTCTTTCCTGGTTTTCTTCACAAAACAGCTCCAATCTGCAGTTAAGACTAAACAAGGAACTTTAATTACTTTCCTAAAAATAAAATGTATATACTTCTATGTACAGGACACAAAATAACAGGTGCTGCAGTGATGCTAATTTGTTGCTGTTGGCTGCAGTTCATCACCAGTTCACTGAAATAAGGACAGCATATTGTGGCAAGCATAGCTGAGTTTGCAGATTAGCAACATGTACAGCTAAAAGATGATAAGGGGAGTCCTCAGAAAGTTTTTGAAGCTCACTTTCAAAATTCCTGGTCCTACTTGAACCTTGCTTACTTGAAAGTTCAACTCCTCATGTACACTACCGTGGAAAGATAGGCAACTTGTCCTCAAAAAAACATTAAAAGTAAGTTTAAAATAGGTTAAAGTAACAAAAAGTAAGAGTTTAGAGGAACTGGCTGCAGAATTCTTGTCAAAAAATGAAGAAGGTAGCAGCTGAATTCAGAACAAGCCTCTCCTGCTGTCTTCTCTTTCTTTGTTTTGTACTTTTAAATTATGGGAGGAGGGGAGCAGGAGATGTGAGTCCCATCCATCCACTGGAATTTAGGATGTTCTCCTAGGAAGTAGGAGTTAAGACAAATTAGAAATTTCCCTTAAGCCACAGCCCTCACTTTCGGGGCAAGTTCTGTTTATGACCATTTCCATTTTGCATCCACCTCTTCCAGTGGATGTGTTTGGAATTCTGGGCACCCATAGCACAAAGAGCACTGAAGTGTTTAGTCCTGAGGTACCCAGTGTACCTTTAGCTGGGTTACTGAACACTGGAAAGAAGTGGTTAAGCTTCTTGGCTGTCTTGCTCAAGCTTTGTGAAGCACTGACTGGTTATCACTAATGGTGCAGTGAACCTGGATAAACCATGTTTGCTCTAGGTTGATCTAAGTGGCTGTTTTGGAGAGGTAAATGCAAAACACAACTTTGAAACCTAGGGCGCTGCTTTTCTTTCTAATGCTTCTTTTTTTTTCTTTGGCCAAACATGTATTAATTAGTTATTATTAAAATACCATTTTGTTTGACTTAACTGAATTTAGTATTGCAGCTTTATCAAGACATATATGAAGTATTTGTTGTAATTTAAGAGTGAATGTAATTATTTACCTCTATAAATATTTCAGGTTGTATGTTATTTTTTCAGGCAAGGCAGTAACATAAACACCTGTCATACAAGAGTTAAGAACAGGAGGAAAAGCAAAGAGAGAGACCAACTTCCTTAGAAGTTATTTGTTCAAAGGTAAGATAATTTTTCCCTCTAAATTTTATTTTCCCTTGCTAAGTGGAGAGAAAAACCCTGAACTACTGGCATTGGTTTTCTGTCTCTTAAGTATCCAGCGTAGTCATAGATCTGTTATGCATTTACCTGCATTTTCATATTTGTTTGAGTTAACAGTCTGTGATTGATGTCAGGTTTTTTTTTTTTTTTAATTTCAGCTCAAGATTTTAACTGAAGGGCATAACAAAATGTGTTAACTAGAAAAGCAGCTAAAAATATTTCATAGTTTCACATAATTGCAGGTAGCCTTAATCATCTCTGAGGTTCTTTACTGGTATCAGGTCAAGTCAACTAGTGAAACAGTGAGTCTGGAAAAATGGACTTAGAAGGAATGTGAAATATTGTACTGAAAAATGGAAAGTTTTTTCTTCTAGCATGGACCACAAGTTTAGTGATTCTTATCCGTGAACATTCTGAAATCTTTACTCAAATGGTTTAGGTTGTAACACCTTTTTCCCAATCCCCTTTGAACTCCTCCCTGCTCTTGTGTTTGCTTTGTGTAACTCTCTCAGTGTAAGAAGAGAGATAGCTTTGTTTGAAGTGAATAGTAGCTGCTGAAGAGTCATCTGTGGTTTAGTATCTGATTTTCTTTAAACTAAAAATCTGATTTGGGGATCTTGAGTGTGGTACAGTATGTAGTTCAGTAGAACAGAACTCTTATATCTTTTACAGTATGTAGTTGTGGATGGTTGTAAAGCATTTTATCCCTCATTTATGTGGTCAAGCAGACAGAGCCCCTGAAAGCATCAGTAATATATTTAAAACACAGAAGGGAGGAGATGGTCACTGAAGCATTTTGACTTCTGAATTACTTGCTGGCACTGTTACTGAAAATAACATTTAGAGCATCTCTGCATGCAATGAAGATACCTTGTTTCCTTGTTTGTTTTTTACCTCTTCGAAATGGTTCTTGTGTTAGTCACTCAGGAGTTAAATGCTTTATTGGATAAAGAAAACTGTTACTGTAAGGTTTTTAAACTAGACTCCTCTGAAAAAAAAAAAAAAAAGACCATTGAAGACTCTGAAAGGCTTTTTGGATGGTAAACAAGTTAAGGAAGCTCTGAAGTTCTTTGGCTTTGCTACTGGCTGCTCTCACTCACCAGGATCCTGGCACCCTGTCACTGTGCCTTCGTTGCCTCCATTGCTCCAGTTCTCCTGTCAGGGAATGCCACCATACAATACATCGCCTGGGGCTAATTGGATGAGTGACAACCAGCCAGCTCCAAAGTGACAAGTGTTTGAATGCCTAATTGGGTCAGTGCACAGGTGCCCGCTCTTCATGAATGAGATGTTCTAGCTTTCCTCTGTGACGTTCTCTTGGTTCCTCTCATTTTTCCTACAGTTGGGAAACAAAATTGTCAATATTTGATGTGAGAGAAAAGGCTTTATCAGAGGAGAAGGATGATTTCCCATTGCCCTGCTTTGGTTAAACTAGCTTTACTGCTTGAGTACTGGCTGGAGGAGACACACAGAAATTCATTAAAGTGACAGAAGTTTGCTGATACAAATGGACATTTCAGTAGACAATAGGGTGAATAATTTGACTGGTAAAGACAAATATATTGCCTTAATCTCTATGTTAGATGGTTCTCATACTGTTTAGACCTACGGGCTTGGGCATCAGAAAAATCATGGGAGATAAAAAAAACTTATTTTGTTGTAGTTGCACAATGAGGCTTTTCCTTAGTCAAATAAACAAATAAACAACTTCGTATAATGAAGTCAGACAGAGGTAACTGTTTCGTCTTATTCAAGGCTTGGTGTGTACGTAGAATTAATAACTGACGTTTAAGCCCACAGTCTATGTTACTTAGATGGATTTGTCTTCCTTTTGTCCCCTCCACAAAGAACCAAAGAACCTGATTAGAAAGGGTGTCTGGAAGTTGTCTTGTCCAACACCTGCCCTGATCAAGTAAAGCAACTTGCTGCTTGGACAGCTGTTGAACAACCATAGAGTAGAAAAGGGTTTTCTTTTGTTTAGATGTAATTTCATCCATCTTAGTTTGTGTCTATTGCCTTTTACCCTGTTGCTGGGCACCACTGAGAAGTGTCATTTACCCCTGTTCCCCTCAGGTATTTATACACATTGACAAGATCTCTTGCAGCCTTCTCCAGGCTGGAGTCTCAATGCTTTCAGGCTCACCATGTCAGATGCTCCAATCCCTTAATCATCTTGGCAGTCCTACACTGGCCTGCATTCTGGGATGTTTATGTTTGCTTGTGCTGGGCAGCCCATGAGAGGACACAGCCCTTCAGTCATGTCTTAGCAGTGCTGAGTGGAGCAGAATGACCTTGGTCCTGACCTGCTGACAACATATTTTCCTAATGCAGTACAAGATGCTTTTGGCCTTCCCTGCTGCAAGGGTACCCTGCTGGCTTATGGTCTTGCTTGGAGCCCATGAGGACCCCCAGGTGTTTTTCTGCAAAGCCTCTTTCCAGCTGATCATCCCTCATCCTGTTCTGGTGCTGGGGGTTATTCCTCCTTAGGTGCAGGACTTTGTATTTCCCTTTGTTGGACTTCATAAAATTCCTGTTGGTTTATGACTGAGTTTTTCAAGGTTCCTCTGAGAGCAACCAGCTGGTCTGTGAGCTGCCCTTCCCAGTCGGTGTCGTCAGGAAACTTGCTGAGAGCACACTCAGTATCCCATCATCCAGGTCATTAATTAACTAGTTCAATGGAACTGGCCCTAGTACTGATCCCTGGAGTACACCAGCAGACTTTTCTCCAGCTAGACTTCATGCTGATCACAACCCTTTGAGCCCAGCAGTTCAGCCAGATTTCAGTCTATCTCACTGTCCGTTTCTGTAGTCTGTACTTTATCAGTTTGTCTACAGGGAATTTATGGGAGACCATGTCAAAAGCCTTGCAAAAGTCAATATAAACAACATCTGCTGCTCTCCTGTCACTCAGAGCCTGCCATTAGCTGGTTTGTTCTGCCCAGAGTGTCTCAGTCCCAGCAGGTGCTGCTGGCAGGGTGGCTCCAGGAAATCAGTGTCTCCCCAGTTCAAGGTTTGTTTAAAACAATATTCTCACTTTTGCTTTGGCTGACTTGAATGTGTGTTTCTAAAATAATGCTTTTTCATTGGTGTATATTTAAAAGTGTGAAGAGTTATTTAAACATAGTAAAGTTCACACTCTAAGTGGTGTGAAGTCAGCTAGGTAGCTACTGTCAACACTGTTTATACAGCAACTGTTTATGTTTCTCACTGTCCTTACTAATAAAAATACCTGCTGACAGAAGTGGAAAATAAAGAGAAGAAAAGGCTTGACATGGCGTCTCACAGCTGTTTAAGATAAACAGACTAAAGAAAGGGTGCTTTTAATTGGCCGGAGACAGAGGAATTGTTTATAATAACAGAAGTGCAATTTTTCAAGTTTACATTTTCCCTCATAAAATCTTATTGTGAAAAATGCCCTCATTCTAACAAGGTTGGCATATCGTCTAGTTAAATGTAAGAAACTTGACAGGAGAAATTGTCTGGAAAAGAGAAGCATATTTCAATAATCTGTAGTTTCCGAACATCAGCAAAGAAAGGATGAAGAGAGCTTTGTATTCAAGAATCAAGATGTAAGCATTACAGAAATTATCCCTAGAAATCAGAGATATTTTTAACAGATTGGAAAATGGAAGGGTCTAGAAATAGAATACTTCTATTTTAATTTGTGGAGTTTATCTATGTTAAAAATACCTTGCAAGGCTTTCATTTATTGTTAATAAACTGATATGTTTCATAAGTGTGTTTACAGCTAAAAAGAGTGTAAACAGAAGTAGCTGTAACTCATGTAGGGATCACAGCCACTCTAGTTCTACTGAAGACTGCCCAAATGTAGTAAGTGTTTGGTGTCTAGGATAATTTTGGTGTTCATATAAAACATTAAGTTTTGCCCAGCTTTTTTTCTCACTTCATAATCTCTGATTTCCTCATATATAGGGTAAATTAAGTGGACCTCTTTAATCACTTGTTCCTTTTTTAGGTGTCTTGCTATGTGTTTTTTTCAGTATATTAAAAAAGGACAGTATTTAAGTTGTGAGTTTCCTGAGTTTCTCAGCTGCTGATGCATGCTCATTTTACAAGAACTTTGGGTGATGACTTCTGGGGGATAAAAGTGATACTCCTACATCACTGCAAATTTGAGTCTGTTCCTATGGTAGCTGTGCATGCAACCATTGATGCCATAAATAAACATTTTATAGTTGGGGTTTTTTTACATAATGTTAAAAGGGGAGGGATGGTAAAGAAAATAAAAGAAACATTAAACCAAATTTTGCTTGAAACTTTCTGGGCCACTAACAGCAGCAATTAAAAGCATTTAAAATGTTATGAAGTCTGTTACATGCTTCTAAATATACAATCAAACATTTTCTGAGTGTGTTGCTAGTTAGAAAGAGAACCAAAAGCAAGTTTCAAGTTTCCCAAGTTGACAGTACTCTAGAACTCTCTGTAGCTGATTCTACTTTAATTACAGACAACTCCTAGATTTCATCTAGTTCTTGCTTAGTTAATGCTTCAATAGCTTGGGTGTATCTTTGTTTTATAAAGAAGTATGGAGGGAAAATAGACGAGAGGTATTGAAACAGTACAGTTTATAAATTTGATCCAATTTAGACACAGATACTGTATGACACAAAAGATGAGCTCACAAAATCATTTAGGAAAAGATGATTGGAAGGGATTGCAGCAAAATGTAAAGGACAAAGGGTAACAGTTCAACATAGAGAGGGATAAATTGTTTTTTAAATCATTGTTGGGTTTTAAATCACTATTTTTTATTACTGTTTATAATAAAGGAGGAAAAATACAGTTTCTTGTTTATATCATAGTTATAAAAGAGTTAGAAAATATAGTCAGCATACATAATGTTATGGGATAATCTGGGTAGATTTATGCATCAGAAAAATGTAATGGATGCATAGGCAGAAATGTTGTGCATTTTAATATCTGGAGGGCTTCAGCCTTTG